GAAGTATACATACATATATATATATATACATATATATACATACATATATATATATATATACACATATATATATATATATATATATATATATATATATATATATATATATGATCTGTTTTTTTAGCTTAATTTCAGTTCAATTCATTTCAGCTCCAATTAGTCAGTTCAATTTAGCTCATAATTTCCTTTTCTCATGAACACTTCATTTCAGCTCTATTTAGTTCAGTTCATCAGTTGAGCTCAGCTCCAATCAATTCATTAGTTCAGCTCAATTCAGTAAATCAGAACAGACCCTAAGTACATAAAAAAATATACATTTAGTAATAACAAGTGAACATGTCAAAAAATATAAATGAACATTTAATATTCTAAAATGAACATTTATCAAACAATCATAAAAAATGAACACGTCAAAAAAATTATGAAAATCTTATATATTAAAAATGAACATGTTAAAATATGTTCATTATTTATGTAATATATATTCAGGTTTAGTGTGCTATATAAAAGATTATTAGTGTAAATTCAAATGAATCAATCCAAGCAATTAGATTATTCAGTTTAAGAGATTATTACTCAGCAATTTCTTTTTGCTGACTTAAATGTCGCGCGCAACTCAATCAGTTATGTGTGACATACCAGCGTAACTCAAAACGATGTACATGTGCGCGCCTGGACAGCACGACCCACTGAGTTACGCGCAGACACTGGTCAGTTAAAAGACTGTTATTCAAATTTCGATCCGTTTAATTTATTTTTTACGGTTTTTGCTTGTTGTTAGACGTAATGACGCACAATTATCGAAAGATTGAATCAAACCTAGAAAACTAATCAAAAAATAATTATAAAGTAGAAAAAGAGATTACTAAGAGCTGCGCTTCAATCAGAAACCCAATCAAACTCTTTCGGCACTTTTCATGGCCTCTACTCGTACCCTAAGTTTGGAAATGCAAATCATGCAGCTTACTCGCGGCTGCCTGCTGATGATACTACTTTCGTCTAATTTACTGTCACATAATCATGCTTCAACAGTGTCGTCCAAAATTTACTATAATGCTACTAATTCGATCTTCTTCACTAACAATAATTCCAAGGACCCCTAAGAAATTAAATAGAAGATGAGTTATTTGTTCATCAACATTGCCATATTTGCCAACAACAAAGTGTTTGTTCCTTTCAATCCTTTGTTATATATACTCCCTTGTCCCTTCGTTCTCTTTTAGTTGCAATAAATTAAAGGGTATTAGTTATGAGACATATATAAAAAATTTCTTTTGTTGCAACTAAAAGAATATGAAGGTAGTACATAAAAACCATAGCAACAACTTATTTTATCGATCTAAAGTCTAATGTTTTTGCAAAACTGTATATTCATACACTAGGAATATGATAAGTGAATATTAAAAGACAAAAAAAGTAACACTTTGTTTGGATAGCAAAGAAGGAAGAAAAAGGAAGGGGAAGGGAAAAGGAAAAGGAGGAAGGGAAGGAAAAAGAAAAGGAGGGGGAGGTCCATTTTCCTTCCAAATTTCTTTAAATTTGGAGGAATTATGTTTATTAAAGAGAGAGAGGAAAAATAGATCCCTCTATCTCCTTTCCCTTCCTTCCCCCAATCCTTTCCCAAACAAGTGAGTTTGTCCTCCTCCCTTTCTCTTCCCTTCTTTTCCTTCTATTCAAATAAAGTGTAAGAGTTGACCACTACGTGCACTCTAATATACTTTGTATTCAGTATAGTCATTTTTTTAAGGAAAGATGAGAACTCTACTGAACTGACACCTCTTATATGTTAAGTTTGTCTAGTTCCGCATGTCAACGTTTAAGAGTAGAGGGGAGAGGTAAGGGAATAAGTTCAAAAAGAAAAGCAAAACAAAATGCATCAAAAATAAAACTAAAAGAAAAGAAAAGAAAATTGACCTTGCGTTGCACGGGGTGACAAGAAGAGCCACGTGAGAGTGCACGAGGTAGGATTACATGCTAAAACAAACTTGCCATTCTGATCAGTTTTACTCATTTATAGTATCTGGCGATAATTTAAAACAAAACAAAAAATAAATTCAGTACACCAAAAAGTTTCATAGTAATTAGCGAACTTCTAAATCTTTAAATAATCTAGCGTTCATACTTGCATCTCTCCTATCTCTAAGTACAAGTAACTGTCCCTTCAAAAAAAAAAAAGTACAAGTAACTGTGTAACGCTATGTTAAGTATTTTATTTTATTTTTTCAAAAAAAAAATTAACATAAGGTTTAATTTTAGAACTTTATATTGGTTCAAATCCGGTTTAAGTTTTTTTTTTTTTTTTTTTGAGGAAACTGGTTTTAGATTTAATTAATAAGGTTTAAATTTTTATTAATCTTATTTTGTGTTAAAAAAAAAAAGAAAGAAAAGAGAATCTAAGGCCTTATTCTGCAGCATCACTTGAGATAATAGTTAGTAAGTCAGAACAATATTTGGAAAAATTAAGAATGTGTTTGGTATTGTTGTGATATATTTTTTTAAATTATATGATAAATGTTATATAATGAATAAAAAATTAGTCAAACTTATTAATTAAATCATGATAATTTTTAAAATTGACAATTTGAAGAGTAGAAATACTTTTTTCTTGTTTATTGTTTTTGGTTTTTTGTTTTCAAAAATTTGAAAAGTGAAAACCAAAAAGGATGCCAAACAATCCCGAAGTGTGTGCGAATCACTTAGGAATATATATTTCAAAACTTGTATTTTCAACAAATAGAATTTTAATAGCGTAATTTAGATAGCATATAAATATGAGTGAATATAAAAATAGATTAAAAAAAAAAAGATTGATCAATAAAAAAAAAAAAGGTAAAAAGTTGTACTTCATAACAACTATTGTAAAAGTCATAGAGTTCAAATTTATAAAAGGTATTTACCAAAAATCAGTGCTATATAAAAAATATACGGAGTAGTAAAAGTCATAAAGTTAAATAATACAACATTTAATAAAAGGTATTTGCCAAAAATTAACGGCGGGGCTTTAAATACTGGATTATTTCGTCTCTAAATACTAAATAGTGAGTAAATTAATTATGGAAAAAGTAAATTAATCTTTTAGAAAGGCATTAAAATAAAAAAAATGAGTCAAACAATGTAAAACAAATGGTTATTATTATTATTATTATTATTATTATTATTATTATTATTATTATTATTATTATTATTATTATTATTATTATTATAAAATAACAAAAACCTACAAAGTAAAAAAGATTTACAAGAAATTAGTGGGGAGCCGAGATACAATCTGGGCCCCCACCCCTCTAGCTATAGCGAACTCAATCCTGTTAAAGATGTGAGCAGCCGCACGACCTCCAATATCCTGAGTCCTAGCGAACGCCTGAACCCGCTTCAGCAACGCAACGGCATCCTTCTTTAATTCCCCCAATGAAGAAAAGGAGAAAGGAAGAAAACCATAGTCAATAGCCCTGCAACGCGCCCCATACTTGTCTCGCTTCCGCTGAGCCGCAGCCGACATAACACGACCAGGAACGAAGTCAGACAACCCAGATTGAGTCAATGGAGAAGACCCCGTCAAGTCAACACATACATTTAGGGAGTAAAAAAAAACCTATAAAGTCAATCAATTTACAAGGAAATGGTCTTTATTAACTCCTATTTTCTACTTGATGAATTTTTGTATTCCCTCATTTCCAAAAATTTCATTCTGATAGTTTACCAAATAAATGGTACAATGTGAAAGTTCGTTGATCCTTTTTGTTTATAAAATAAGGGAGACTGCGATTGTGAAATAGTATAAAATTTTTAATACAATTTTAACCAGCTCTATTATTTTATTGCCTAACTTATTTTTTTACATGATTTCGAGCAAAAACTTTGAATAATAATAATAATAATAATAATAATAATAATTATTATTATTATTATGAGTTGATAGTTTGAATATACGACGGATCAAGTAAATATACAACCTCTGTTAATTGTTATCTGTAACCTCGGAATATTTTATCTCATAAATAATACTCCAAAATTATAGATAACAATTAACATAGGTAGTATATTTTTTAACCTATACACAAATATGGAGTAATAGTCAAATTGAGGTTTTGGATAACGTCAAAAGTAAATGTATAAATATTCCCAAAAAAAAAAAAAAATTGAATGTAATATGTTTACAGAATATAAAGAAATGAGAAGTAGTAATAGCAGCTATATGTATTAAAAATTTGTTACCGTTTTTTGTATCTAATTATTTATTTGTTAATTATTTTATCACAAACTTTATTTTATCACAAACTTTTGTATGTGACTGATCACATTGTGTGACCAATCATTATAGGGGTAAATTCGTTAGTATTATAGGGTTGCTTCGTTAGTGTTATAGGGTTACTCAGCCAATGTTACAGGGTATTTCGTCATCAGTGCTATAGAGGTTACTTGGCCAGTGTTATAGGAATTACTCGGTCAGTATTACATGGGTTACTTAGTGTTATAGGATTATATTTTTATTTTACAAGCAAGTGTTCACAAGGTGTGACCAGCTGCAAATAAGACGGGCTGTTTTTTTAAACATAAAATAAAAAATAGTAAACTGGGAAAAGTGAATTTCATTATCTTGTTGTTGGTTTACTAAATAATCAATAATGCAATAGGTTAAATTATTGTTTTTTGAGATAGGTTTTCTAACTTTTACTAGCATTATACTTCCTCTATTCTTTATTACTTGACCCGCTTTGACTTTTACACTATTTATCACCCCTCCTTTGACCGTCTTTTGTGAATAATATGTAAGGAAAAATATATTCATGTATGATCTTTTTGGATTCGTCTCAATAAGTACTATCATAATATATAACTTTTATAATTTTTACTTATGGAGAATTTAAGTTATTGATTGTTAAAGTTTTGCATTGACAAGCGTGATAAAAAATAGGTCAAGTAAAAAAGAACAGAGGAAGTATGACATATACTGACAGTGAACAATTAAATAAGCTAAAAAACGTACTGTAAATAATAATAATAATAATAAAAAAAATTAAATTAGAAAGCTACACCTACATACACCTATATAACTAGAACTGAGAATCTTGAATGAATCACATATTTTTCCAACTCTTCTCAAAAACCTCTATTCATTCATATCCTTTAACCTTACGTAGGTAAAACTAACTTCCCCCTCTTTTCATTGAGATTTATTTTATGTTCTTGTTTAATTTGTTTCCCTTTTTAATATATTATTAGTTTTTTTTTTTTTAATTTGACTTAGCTTGCAGGAAACAGGAAGACCAGTTAATTATTTACTTGGAGATATAAATTAAAATGGAAGCATGCCAACGAGTAAGTTCTGTTTCATTTTGTTGGATACTTTAGATTTTTAGTTTCTAAAAAAGTTTTTCCAATATAGTTCCTTATTTTGCGCTTTATAGTCATGTTAATAGTGTAAATTGAATCATCGAGAATAATCAAGATCGGAAGGTATATTACTGTTGATGATCTTTTGCTCAATATATATGTGTGAAATGGTTGATGTTTTCCAACTTCCATTTAATTAGTTTTCTACTGTAAAAAGCTTTCTGTTTATAAAGTTGAACCAAAATACAAATAAATAAATAAATTGGGTTTTCAAACATTCATTGATACTTAATTTTGTAGTAGTGTTGCACAATAATTTTTAAGTAGGAAGAAGTTCAATAATTTTTTAATCCAAAGTTCTTAACACTTTTCATTCAAGTCCACATAAAGCAAAATTACATTTTTTTAAATATACCATTTTTAGCAAATATGGAGTGTCTATCTTTTAATATATACTTCCTTATCTGTCTTATACGAAGTATATAACATAATAAGTCAATTTGTACACATTTTCACTCATTTTCTCTCTTAATTTATAGAAGTATAATTTTTAGCAAATACGGAGTATTATATAATATGTTTTGTGTCCAATCTATACTGGTTATAGCCAATTGGCCTAATACGAAGCCTAATACTTACTTCGTATATTATAATATGTTTGTGTCCAATCTAAGCTATTAACATTAACCTCAATCAAACCCTAATAGGATGTTCTATATATAGAGTATGTACTAGATAATCTTCTGATTTTCTTAACTTATTTTTCCCCTTTTAATTGTTTCATGTGTATACATAGTTTGTGATACGTAGTAAAGAAGATTATGAAAATGACACAGCCACCAGCGATGTTGATGGTGCCAATGTTGATACTACACGACCAGAAATCGTGTTAAAGGTACTCGACAAGAAGATCCTCTTGAACGTGTTTTGTGAGAAACGACAAGGGATTTTGACGACGATCATTGAAGAGCTAGAGAAGTATGGTTTGAGTGTTGTTACTTTTAGCATGATTCCTTTCGAGAATACGGTCATGGACATTACAATCGTTGCACAGGTAATCAATTATCAATCAAATATCTTATCTATTAATTAATTTCCAGTGTGATAAAACCTAACATGTATATATAGACAAAACTTTTCACTTTTGATTTATACTTGCAGATGGAAACTGACCAGAATTTGAAAGATTTTACTGAAACTCTTCGCTTGGCTCTGGTTGTGGTTAGCCCTCAACACCAAGGACCATAAATAACACGGTAAATGCGATGGAAGGTTGACCAACCATCTGAGATTTCCTTTACATCCAAACAATGTAACATAATGGTTGAGACTTGAAAGTGTTACAATAAATAAATAAATAAATAAATAAATATATATATATATATATATATATATATATATATATATATATATTAAGTAACGCTTTAGTGGATGATATATAAATTCACATGTACTACATACATAAGCTCTTTTGTAACACTTATGAAAGTGTGTGATGGATAACTTTTAATTTACACATCTATAGTCTTAACTTTTGAGTAATTATATTGTAGCACTTTTATATTACTTGTCATTTCTTATGTAACACTACCTTTTTTTTTTAATATATATATATTTATTTATTATCTATATACAACTAGTGGGGATGTGGTGTTGATAGCTGTTGATTAATCATGATAACACTATGGAAATTTTGCTGTATATAGAGCAAATGTTATATTAGAAGTGTGATTATGATGTGCAGGACATCAGGAAACTAATATGCTGCAAATGGCAAACCATGTGCAACAATATATATACAAAACAATACACATTTAAAAATGCCTTTAAAAATTCATAGCAAATTTGGTAATGTAAAATGAAAGCATTAGCTAGGCTCTGTTTTGTTCACCTGATTTTTTCCTATTTCATATTTTACTAAATTATGGTTGATAAGGGGTGACTTAAGTTCAATCAACTAAAGTAAGTTTTACTAAATTTAGTTATGTTCTGATAAGAGAAGATAAATTCAAATAAGTAAAAGGGGGTCCTAAGCCGTTGCTCAAGTTGTTTCTTCTTACAACTGGCTCTGAAAATTATACCCTTAAGTTAATGTATATTTGTAACAATTAATTAACTTAGCTTATACACATATCATACATTAAATTTTATCACACTAAGGTATGAATTTGCTAGCCGCGTAGACACACCGCCCACTTGACAAGATAGCTACATTGAACGACATATGGCACTAGCTTGAGGATTTCTATAAATACCGTACCTAAGCAGATTTCAAATTTTAAGGTACAATTATCTTATTCTAAACACACTTAAACCACCCTTTTTTATTCACATATTCCAATTTACTAACTTTAGCGTCGAAGCGGTTTTCCTCGATCAAACCTCGAGGACAGCTTATCTATGTTGATTTTGCAAGTATCTAGTTAGGCAACAAACCATTACAAGCCAAGATACAAGTATTCAGAGCTCACGATCCAGAAAGAAACTGGAAAATGGGTTATGATCTCAAGGATAAAATTGTACGAGTATTAATATTTGGTTCCGGCCATCAAATAAACGCATATTTCTTGAAAATCAATGTCATCTCTCTAACGTGGAAGAAAATAAAAATGAAATGGGAACCAATGTAGGCTTATCTCAGCTTGCACCGTTGTCCATATTCCAAGCCCATTATCCTCTCGGCCATAATGTGATCTTGCACTTGCCTTGGCTGTCGTCGTTTCCCCTTCGCACCGCCACTTGAAATACTCACTGCTTGCCTCTTTTGATCGTTATCATTGTTTGGATCCGTTTCCATAATTTCCTACATCAATTATTTCATACCATCAATTTCTTATTTATTAATTCAATAATATATGTATCGTCCAAAGTTCCAAACTTCAACCATATGCCTTACTGTACTCAAAACTTCAATCAAGTATCTTACTTTACGATCATCAAACGTAATTTTTTTTTTGGCAATTGTTGATCTCAAAGAAGAAGGGCAGTATCATTTATTACTAGCTCTAAATTCTATAATAAGTTATGCAATTCAGAAATCGAGAATAAATTACATACTGTGACTCTATCATTATTAAATAATGCGGGTTTATGCTCTAACGTACAAATGTTCGGATAACCATTCATTATTGGAGGATTCCCTTTTTTTTTTTTGGTGCCCCATTTGGATTTCCATATTATTCATTAAATATATTTTGACCAATATTTATGATTTATACATTTGAGAAAATATAATTTTATGGGTACTTGTTGGAATCGTCTCAATAAGTAGATTATAGATATTTAATTGTTACTCCCTCCGTTTTAAATACTTGCTCCATTTCTCTATGCGCGGAGTTTTATGAAAAATTGGAGAAAATAATAAAATATGTAAGTAGTGGGGTTGGTGGAAGAATAAAAAATTATAAAAAACCTAGTGGAGAGAATTGAAGGAGATAGAATATGGAATTAATATTGTTAGGTCCACTTGGTGAGAGAAATTAATTAAATATTGCAAAAACTTCCAAATAAGGAAATGGAGTAAGTATTTAAAAACCGCCAAAAAAAAAGTGGAACAAGCATTTAAAAACGGAGGGAGTATAACTTATAAGTAATGATAATTAAAGATATTATTACTCATGCCACTATGGGACACTTAAAAAAACGGAAGGAGTACTAATAAAAGAAAATGATACGAAATACGAGTAATGCATTAATACAACAACCACCACCTTTTGATTTTTAGGTTATATACAAGAAGATTAAAATGAATGTAAGTCGATCTTTTATGCGCTCAGCTATATGGTGTAGTCATATTTGTTTATTTATATGATTATATAAGCTCATTTATTAATAATGCTCAATAACTACATTTTGTTTCATCCTAAGAGTAACTACAATTACTTTGAGTCCAAAAATTTATTAGGAGCTTCACGGGTGTTAGGCTCGGGCTTTTGGTTCTCGGATTCGGGTTGTCGGATCTTGACTAAATAGATCCAAATAAGTTATTAGGTGATTATAATTTCAGATTATATTAAACAAAGCAACATGCAATGCGTTTATTACAAGTAATTAATTATATATTGACATCCGAAGTAGAAAATTGAGTAGAGATTTGCGCTCTCTTACCATATCTGCTATCTGCTAACCATGCTTCCATAGTTATAGTGGAAGTTGATGTTTCCACTTCGAGTGATAGAGATCTTCAAATAGAGAAAGGAAAAGCAAAGAAAGAGAAAATTGACAATTACAGTGTTTGTACGAGATTGAGACCTAAATCTTCGGAGTTACTTAATTTATAAAGAGGGAAACTGCCAAATCATGTACACTACTTTCTTCTTTTGTTTTGTTTTACTACCTCCGTTACTTTTTAATTACAATAAAGGAATTTTTTATGCGGCGATTTCACTAAATGTCATTGAGCTTTTTGAAAATTTATTAATGTCATCGAGTTTTTCAAAATTCACCAAATGTCATCTATTTTTTTAAAAATTCACCAAATGTTATTACACAACCTATTGCGTCAGTCCGAAATGACCAAATGTTTTGTCAGTCCAGCGGGTTTTTGCTTTATTCCAATTATCGCTCCCATCGAGGTCGTTGTTATTGGCGGTGGTATCGTGCACGGTGAGAAACTTGTTGATTATATTTGTCCATGATTTATGCTTGAATTAGCTTGATAATTGCTTGAGATTCTCGAATATTTTGAGAAATGGTCAAAAAACGATTTGAGGCTTTCTTGTGTGATGTATAGTTGTTGAAATTGATTGTCTTATGTGATTGTATGTTGAATTGTGAGCATTGATAACAAATGCATGTATTTTGGTTGATAAACGAGCATGTTAGCTTATACCGATAAGCTTAGTATGGGACCTTCAATGGCGGTTCTGCAATTGTTGACCTTCAATGGTAGGAAGACAATTATTGTATTTGTTTATTTTAAAAAATAAATATTACTAAATATAAAATATTTATAAATTTATTCATTCATTGTCTAGATGATATCATCTAAAGGCTAGACGATATCATGTATTGTGTCTACAATATTATCTATACGATGGATGATATCTCCTCTATTTTTTTTTATATCCTCTATTGTTTTTATGATACGAGTATACTTTATGAGTTGGATGATATCCTCGATTGTTTTGATGATATCCTCGATTGTTTTGATGATATCTGATGTAAGTTGGATGATATCCTATATAGGTTCTATGATATAAGCTAGATGATATCACCTATTGTGTATATGATATCATCTATAGACGGAATGATATCCTATATTGGCTACATGATATCATTATAATTATGTCTATGATATCCTCTATTGGCTACCTGATATCATTTATGATTGTGTCTATGATATCCTTTATTGGCTGGATGATATCCTCTATTTGATATATGATATCATTTATAATTGTGTCTATGATATTATTTATATGGTAGATGATATCCTCTATTATGTATATAATATCATTTATAATTGTGTCTATGATATCATCTATAGGCTAAACAATATCCTCTATTGGCTATATGATGATATTCACCAACAAACTGTAATATCCTCTATCAAAGATAAATTGTACATATCCTCTATCAAATACTAAATATCCTATAACAAACAATACTTATCCTACAACAAAAGAGTACGTATAATCTATTAATTAACACATATCCTCCAACAAGTTGTACATATCTTCTATCAAGTAATACATATCCTGATCAAATATTGCATATCATATATACACTTGACGCACGGATTATTAATATATACCTTCTCATGTTATTAATGACTAACGGCCGTTAGCTCCATTAGTCATTGAGTTAACTATCATTAGTCATTAGAGTTAATGATGACATATGTCGTGTCATGATTGATTCTTTTTAATTATTTATTTTAATTAATAGCAATAACATTTTTTCTTGATTTGCATGTCAAAAATTATTGTGTTAAGGTTTTGGGGATCATTTTGGTTCATTAAAAGATCAAATTAAGCTCAAAATTGGCAGAAAAATATCATAAATACAACGTTTATCGTGCGTGTCAAGAACATCTCAATTTGCGTGTCGTTTTTTTTAACCATTAAAGTTGTTCGGGTAAGATTTTGGGGGTCATTTGGGATCTTATGGAACCAATTTAAGCTCGGAATCGGTAAAAAATGACGTAAATGCCTCTGCCTCAAGATCGTTATAATTATTTATTTTTTACCATGAAAATTACAAAACAGGGCATTTTTGTGTGTGTGTTTTTTTTTTTTTTTTTTTTTTTGCTAATTCTGAGCTTAAGTTAGAAACATAATATACCAAAATGACCCTCAAAACCTTACTCGAGCAATTTTCAAGATTAGAAAATAACGACACGCAAATTGAGATATTTTTTACATATAACACGGTGCATTTACGTTATTTTTTTTTTTTTTGCCAATTCCGAGCTTAATATGTAAACATAAAAGGTCAAAATGGTCCTCAAAACCTTATCTAGGCAATTTTCATGGTTATGAAATAACGACACGCAAATCAATATATATCTCGACATATAAAACGGGACATTTACGTTTTTTTTTTTCAATTTCGAGCTTAAATTGTATCCATCGGGATTATTCAGTCGATCAGGAGGGTTACTCGATTGGTCAAGAGTTATTTATCAGGGTTATCCGACCGATGTTTTGATGTGTGTCGGCTAGCCACACATCATTGATTTTGTACACTTTCTCTCTTGTTTCATATATATATGTAGTTTGTGATACGTAGTAATGAACAACATGATGAAGATGACACAGCCACCAGCGGCGATGTTAGCAGTACTGCCAATCTTGATATTATACTCTTATATCATTTAACTAATGTTGTTGACTTATACATAAAATTAAATATACACTTCAAAAAAATTAAGGACTATCTATTTTGTAACAATGTGGCTTGTTGCAATGAATCTAGAAGTATAAAAAGACACTGGTATCAGTGATATGACGAGTTGGTGTGTTGGTGAATGTTTGATACCTTTATTTTTATTTTATTTTATTATTGAAAAAATCAGTTCAACAAGGAAATAAAATTTAAAAAAAAAAACAAAATTAGAAAAATAAAGCAAAACTAAAAAAGATTGCCCTTGCGTTGCACGGGGGTTGCAAGAAGAGCCTCGTGAAGTGGTGAGGGGACGCGAGACGACAGCTCTACATGCTAACTCCTTGCTTTGTGATCTGATGACAATTTGACATCATCATTCTCCTAAAACATTATCTAAGTGTGCTCAATCTTAGTTTTCTTCCTTTCAACACTTTCTTTTTCAACTACTCCTTGTAATTTTTATCTGTTATACTTAAATTAATTGAGTTAATCATTTATTATACTACTCGTAGTAAATTATTTTGTTTCTAAAATTTTTTGTAAAATTGTGTTGTTGTTATGAATTAAAATTAAATAATGTATTACAAATATATGATAAAAATATGAGTGGATATAAAATAAATAAGTATCCAATTTGCTTAAGTAAAAACTTTAATATATAATGTAACATGAAGAAAATATTGGAGGAGGCAAGTTTAGGATCTCATCCTTTTGTTCAAAATTAAAATACTTGCCATGCACAACAAACATAACCTTTTATATGTATTTATTTCGCAATATATTGATGTGTTATACGTAAATTTAATAACTTTTAAAAAAACCACCCTTTACAAATTAGAAACCCTCTGTATAGAATATTGATTGAGTATAAACATATCCTTGGCCTCAACCATTTTTGATACTATGTTAGAGGACCAATGAACTAATGCTACTTTTGTAATAATTACATGGAGTCATTTTTTTTTTTTTGAAACAATACGGACTAATTTTTAAACGATAGAATATCTATTTTTTGTTTGTTTACTTATGTTTTATATCGTCGGATAATGTTTTTAAATTTTTGTTAAAAAAAAAGGCAAAAAAAAAAAAAAAAATTCCGATCCCCTTATAAAAAGAAACCAAGCTTCTTGAAAAAAGTGGTCATAATCAAAGATTAACTCTTTTTTTCCTCATCTCTTCTACAAAACATCTATTCATAATTTCGTACGTAGTATTTTTTTAGCTTCCGCAGGTACAACTAATATCTCCTTTTCCTTCGTTGTAAAGTGATTTTCATTTTAATTTTAATATAAAGACTCTTTATTGATCTTCAATCTGGATTTAAAGCTTGCAGAAAAGAGAAAGAGTGAAGACTTGTTAAATAAATGGAAACATGCCGAGTAAGTTTTGTTTGTTTTGCTGGATTGTATAGATTTTAATTTTGCAAGAAAGTTTTTCCTAAATAATTGGAACTTTATAGTCATGTTAATAGTGTATGAAATGTCGTGAAGTTAATGCTTTCCATTATTATAAATACCCCAAAATTTGCAAGATGATATAGTGTGACATTTCTTCTAACTACAATTTTGGTACACTTTTCCTCACATGTTTCATATATATGTAGTTTGTGATACGTAGTAAAGAACAAAATGATGAAGACGACACAGCCACCAGCGGCGATGTTAGCAGTATTGCCAATCTTGATAACATACTTCCAGAAATCGTGTTAAAGGTATACAACGAGAAGATCCTCTTGAACGTGTTTTGTGAGAAAAGGAAAGGAGTTTTGACAACAATACTTAAAGAGGTAGAGAAGTATGATTTGAGTGTTGTTAATTGTAGCATTATTCCCCTTGACAATAAGGCCTTGGACATTACAATCGTTGCACAGGTAATCAATCAAACCTTCTTCCATTAATTCCTTTTGTTACCAAATTTTATTCACTATTAATGCAACAATATACCACTTATAAATAAAGGAAAATATAATCAATCAATCAATGATTTATTAATTGGTTTGAAAAACTAGACTAAACCTAGCTTAGCTATTTTGATTTTGATTTTGATTTATGATTTTGATTTTATGTAGATGGAAAAGGGGTTTAACCAGAAGATGAAAGATCTTATTAAAACTCTTCGCTCGGCTCTCCTTGTGGCTACCCCCTAATTAAACTCTAAGGACCATTAATGGTGGACCAAATAAAGGTTGACGAATCATCGTAGCGCTGTGCAAATTTACTATATAATTTAGTATGCAATGGTTATGTTTAACATCTAACCAATGTAACATAATGGTAATGTTGTTGAGACTTAAAAGTGTTGCTTCAAAAAATAAGCAACACTTTGGAAGTTTAGAGTTGAAACCAATATTTGTGTGCTACATCTGTACTATGTATTAGGGGTGAAAGTTCGGTGTTCGGTTTGTTTTTTGGCCCAAACCGAAACCGAACCACCTTAATTCGGTTTCTTGATTTTAGAAACCACACCGCACCACTTTACTTTAGAAACCGAACCAAACCGAACCATATTTATTTCGGTTTCAGAATAAAAAACCGAACCAAACCGATTTTTTTGGGCCTCTTTTATTTGGGCCAATAATCTGCAAATTGGGCCTCATTAATCAACACACTAAGTCACTATTCTCACTAACACAGCAAGCAGTGCAAATTAACATATATAACAGCAAACAAATTTAGTCCAATTCATACAAAGTACAAAGTCTACAAACCAATCCAAATCATACAAACTTAAGTTTTCAGTTTAAATAACAAACTAACAAAGTATCAAATCAAACCAATCAATCCATACAAACTCAAATTAAACAAGTTTTAACAGAACTACTTAAGTTAAACATAACATGATCAAGATTCAACAACATTACAGCCAGCAGAACAGCAGAACAATAGCAGCAGCCAGCAGAATAGATCGATCCAGCAGGCAGCAAAGCAGTAGCAACAGAACAGCAGAACAGTAGCAACAGAACAGCAGAACAGTAGCAGCAGCCAGCAGAACAGCAACACAGTAGGCCAGTAGCAGCAGATCAACACAGCAGTGGCAGCAGATCAACACAGCAGTAGCAGCACAGAGCAATCACTCAAGTATTTCGACCACTTCATCAATTTTAGCATCACCAATTGCCATATTCTTCACAAATTAAAATGTAGCAAGTAAAATCGCAAGTTAAAATCGCAAATTACAATCGCAATTCACAATTGAACATGCAGTAGCAACGATTAGTATTTAGTACTTTAGTAGGAGAAGACAGGAGAGAGCAAGTAAGTAGAGCAACGATTAAAATCGCAAATTGAATTCGCAAATTGCATATTTCATACCTTAATTAGTAGGAGAAGACAGGAGAGAGAGAAGCAGGTGGACCGTTGACGGTGGTCGCCTGGTGCCCTGGTGTACTGGACGGTGGTCGGAGACTCAGAGGAGACAGTCAGACAGGATAGAGGACGAAAGAGTGGAGAAAGGCTGAGAGGATTAGAGGAATTAGGGTTTTTTTTATTTTTTCATTATATACCTAGGGTATTTAGTTTTGGGCCAGGCAGGGGTTTTGTAGGATTGGGCTTATAATTCAGTTTGGTTCGATTTTGTTCGGTTTTTCAATTTCCCGAACCGAAACCGAACCGAAAACCGAAATTTTTTTATTTTTGACACCGAAACCGAACCACCCTCCCAAAAAACCGAACCACATTCCTTATTCGGTTCGGTTTTTCGATTCGGTTCGGTTTTACACCGATTCACTTTCACCCCTACTATGTATGTCCTTGTGTAACACTTTTGAAAGTCAATTATAAACTTTTACACAATTTAATTTTTATTCATCTTATTTAACGCATTTGAATTAATAATACCCTTAATAGCAAATTTAAAGCGTTTCTGGTCACATTTTATGTACAACTTTTATACCTATAACAAGTGGGAACATGGTGTTATAACTTGCAAGGTTATGTTTGTTCATGACATAACAGTTGATCAATCATAATAGCATCGTTTCTATATGTTGCATTCACTTGCATATCCGCTGCCTAGCCCACGATAAAACCAGTCCAGCCCGTTATTGTCAGGGTTGGGGGAATACAAGCTAAGGTCTAGGCCCGATAAATCCTTCTGCCTATTTAAAGGCCCATTTGAGCCCAATTTTGACCTGTGGGCTAACACATCAAGCATGATCCATGGACCAAAAGCTCAGTATAGCACGGCTCAACCCTTGCATTTTGTTTATAAATTCTAGACGAAATTGTGAAAAAGGACCTTTTACATGGTCAACCTTTTGAAAAAAGACCTTTTAAGTGAAAATTTGTGAAAAATGACCTTTTAAGATGTATTTTTTTGTATGGGGTACTTGGGTGAGGTTGCGAGGTAGTCAATGCCAAAGCTCCGGCGTTAACTATCACATATTAGTCACGCGACTTATATAAAAAAAAAAAAATTCTCCAAATTTCCCTCCTTTCCCGGATACGAAAAGGTTAGGTCGAGAAATTTTGGGAAATTTATAGTTTTTTCTTTTGTAAAAAAGACACGTGACTAATACATGATAGTCAACCTCGAAGCTTCGACGTTGACCACCATGCAAGCTCACCCAAGTACCCTATACAAACAAAATACGACTTAAAAGGTCATTTTTCACAAGTTTTTACTTAAAAGATCCCTTTTTAAAAAGTTGACCACTTAAAATGCCCTTTTTCACAATTTTCTCTAAATTCTATTATTCACGTGATCTTGTTATATTCGTCATTATTTATATTTTCAAAGTATCAACTTTTCATTTTTTAATTTATTGGTAATTAATGATATTAATACTATCTCCGTTATGTTATGTGCAACTTTGCAATATTTTATATCTCACAAATAGTGCCGCAAAGTTTCTAAGTATATGGTTATTAAGTACATTCGTTACCACTAACCAAGTGAACTTTTTGTATATATTTACGAGTAGTTGCGTGAGACCAATTACAGCTTTACAACTCACGTTATCAAAATACATACAGAACCGGATGATCTTATTGTATAATCGTCATTGATTCGATCTAATAATGACACCGATATTAGTATCTTATGCTCACGCTATTCATGCCATCTTTTGTTTATTGGTTTAATTCAGTACAAAAAAAATCAATTATTAAAGCGATGCTAATAATGCGGATTCCTTAATTATCAATTATAAGTACCAAAGTTAGAAAGGTACATTTTTCAATTCATTGATTACTAAATTGGTAAGATTTTCAACAATTTACTCCGTATTAGCTATAAATGGTTCATTCTGTTCTGTAATAATCTCAGTCAATTTTAAGGATAAATGGAGTCCTTTCAATACAGCCCGACTCCGTCTTCAGAGAGCTTATCTTGTTGCACGACTGATGATCAAGACTTTGGCGGAATCGGTGTCGACGGAACTCTGGATCGTGGTGGCTTTGAGGCCCCTAAGGTGAACAAAGGTCGTGGGTGTAACAACAGGACTGGATCCATGGCTTTAAACTTTAGTTTGTTGAGTCAATACCATGCTATTACGAAACGACGTAGAAGAGACAAACTTAACCAAAGATTCATTGCTCTCGCGAAAGTCATTCCTTGCTTTGATAAGGTAACTAATTTTAATTTATTTTACTTCAATTCATAGTTGTAACTTGTAAGTTTGTAACACCTAGTTCACTGTTTGATCCAGTACTTCCTCCGTCCCAAAATAACAAATATGTTGTAAGATAGGTATTAATATAATGTTTTTGAATATATTGTAACTTTTATTATAATTTTATAACAATAAGGTCAAACTATTGCATTGACATGTATATATACAAAGATTAATGATGTCAGTTATTCTGAAACAGAGTGAGTATAATAATAATATTGTCAACTAATAACAACAAATTGAAAGAGTGAATAGCCTTACTTTTGGTAAAATGACTCTTCAATCTCTTTTTGATGTATAAAGTACGAGGAAGTCCCAAAAGGGAGCTAATGAAATAATTTGAAGATGTACTACTAACCCAAGTTAATGCCTTAATGGTCTAAGAATATGAGTAGTACGTATATGATCATAAATATGAATGATCCCAATTAATTAAAATGACACATTTTTGGTTCTAGATGGATAAAACATCTGTGCTTGAAGAAGCAATCAAGTACGTGAAACAGCTCGAAGAACGTGTTAAAGACCTTGAAGAGCAAGCAAAGCCGCGAATGGTTGAATCAGCAATGCTAGTGAAGAGGACACGTGAAACCGTGGATTTGGAGTCCAAGAAAATTGCATTTCCAGAAATAGAAGCTAAAGTAAGCAACAAGGATGTTTTGGTTAGAATTTATTGTAAGAAACAATATGGATTACTACTACTAGAAAGGATATTGAAAGAAATGGACAAGGTTCACTTGTCTATTAATGGTACCGGCCTTCTTTCTTTTGGGAATCATGACTTGGATATCACTATAACCGCCAAGGTAACTATTTTCAATCATAATTTTTTGTCTCGGTTTTATTTACTCGATCTACTTCATAACATAATATTTTCGTCTCTCTATTATGCACTATATATCTCTAGAATTATTACTAGGTGCACATAAAAGCATTTGTTGCATATTTTCCCCAACCACTCCTCCCTCAGTCCCTCACCCTCTTTATTGGAAATTATTAAAGACCAAAAGTGATTGGGCGTCCAAAAATTTACCCTTTAAGCTTTGAGGCACCTATTTGACTATTGTTAAGTACATCATGATGATGTATCTTAAAATTTCCAATTACTTTTTTGATTCAAAACAACTTGCAATATCAAACATAATACACACGTCAATGCATGAGTTTATTTCTAGTAAACATATATAATAAAAGTCGGTAAAAATTATAAAATTGTTAATATCATGAAACTTGAAAGGCCCAACTATCTCAAATACGCCTTTGGTTCTTTGGCCGGGGAGGAACCCATGCCTAAGATGATGCGGTCCTTGAATCTTTCATGGCTGAGAGTTAGCAAGCAACCTTTGCCTCTTGGCAAGAGGATAGGCAAACAATGCAATAGCTTCAATTAGATCAAAGCCCAAAATAGCATAATTTTGCCATTGCCAGAATACCCATGATTTTATAAGAAGTACTTACAAACATATTAAAAACAGGATGTTTTGTGTGCGACAGAATACAACATGTATTTGTTGGCTTGTAAAACAACAAAGTAACACTTATAACATTGATCGAGTAACCCCTGTAATACTGATCGAGCAATCCCTGTAAAACTAACAAAATAATCCCCGTAATATCTGGTAACACCGTGTGGCTGCCACATATAAGAATATATGTAAAAAAAACTACCGAGTAGTAATTATATATAATAAATTAGTAAAATAATTATAGTTATGCATAATTAATAAAAACAGTCAAATCATATATGTTCATAACAAAACAAAGGGAATAATACTTAAAAACCACCATCATTATGATATTAGTTAATCACTCTCTTCAGTGATATACCGACATAAATTGTTACATTTTCGCCAGCAAATACTCCGAACTAATGTTGGATCACATGCAGTTTCACAAGTTACAATTAAAATAATAATTGGAGTTCTTATCTTATACAAACACCTCGTAGGTTGATATATTCTATGATTATCCTCCCAATCAAAACTGACCCATCAAATTAAAGGTTCATATATGGATGGTCACATCGTGTATCGGGTTACTTGATTAGGGGTTACTCGACCGATTGAAAGTTACTCAATCAGTCAATGGTTACTCAGCTCAGCCCCTCGAACAGATATTATTTGATCAATGTTTAGGTACGTGTCAATCGGTCACAAAATATAACTGTGTAGTTGGCCACACAAAAAACATGCTATAGAATTTTTAGTGATAAAAGTAACGTGAAATAATAATTGGCAATTAACTAGGTAATTAGTTAAACAAGATATTACATTCAAAATTAACTTTGATTATTTTTTTAATGGTGTATGGGGTAAAGTAAATTGTATGAAATGGGCGATTATGTTTGAATATATATTAAGCTTTTGGTTGATTTAATCTTTTAACATGATTATGGGTGAGGTTAAGAAATATGTTATATACTCTATCAGTTTTAAGAATATGTTATATATTGTATCAAAAACTATAAGAGACATATGCTCCTTATTTATTCTTGTTTTGGACTCTAAATTTTACACAATACAAAATGACAAAATGTAGATATTATACAATTATAGCAAATATTTCTCAATTATTTTTCGCAGCCCAAAAAAAAAAAAAAAAATGTAAACAATTTTGGACATATTCTAAATTGCAATACATAAGATTTGTATCGTTATTTCGATGTATATATAGTTGACTTTTACTACTTGGTTCGATCAATTTGTGATTCGTGGGAGTTATTATATATTGTATGCAGATGAATGAAAACTTTGGAATCACAGCAAAGGAGCTTGTGCAAAAACTAAGGATGGTCCTCTAAGCTAGCCTGCATCTTACGAATTGAAGTACTACATAGGCCTCTAGCAAAATTAAATGGATGAATCCTTTCACGTGCTTACAGTGTGTTTGGATTGAAGGAAGTATAGAAAAAGAAAGAGAAGGGAAAAGGAGAGTTGAGGTATCCTTCATTTGGATAATAAATGAGGAAAGAAGGAAATTAGAGGGAAGAGAAATAAAGAGATTAAATTGTAGAAAATTGATCCCTTCAAAAGGAAAACTCACCATTCTTCCCTCCCCTCCCTTTCTCTCCCCCCCCCCACCCCTCTTTTCCTTCCCCTTTCTTTATCCAAACATACCGTTAATTTTTTTGACAGATTCGTGCTTAATTTGAAATTTAATCTGTGGAGGCGGATGCACCATGCTTGGTGCATCCGGTTTTCTTTTTAAAAAAGGCGCAATGAACATTTAATTGTTTAGTAAAGAACATATAGGTGTTTAGTAAAGAACATATAGTTGTTTAATAAAGAATATATAGCTTTTTATAAAGAACATCTAGTTTTATATGTTTTTTTTTTTTGTAAATCTAAAGAACATTTGTAATATTAGTAAAGAACATGATAATATTAAAGAACATTATTCATATAATAAATGTACATTTGGTATAAATGACCATGTATGCATATAAAAAAGTACATTTTATTGTATTATAATGTACATTGTATTGTATTCTAATGAACATATATGTTATAATAATGGTTACATGTTTAATGTACATTGTATTATTTGCATCATGTAAGTATATGAAAAAAGAACATTTTACTGTATTTTAATGTACATTGCATTATTTGGATCTACAACTTTTTTTAAAATTGTCTATTTGCTTGCTTTTTTCTTCAAAAACGGATTAATCGGAAGATTTTCTTCAAGAACTTCATTTTATTTATCATTGCAACTACAAAATAACATCAAAATCGCAATTAATTCCCAATAAAATCAAATATTACAATTTTCAATCAAATTTATAAAAAACAAACACTCAAACTCAAAATAAACAAGTATGAATGTCAAATAAACAAGTATGAATGTCGAATTTGGTCTTACCTTTCATTTTTATTTGTCATCTTGAACAATTTTGGACTCATAATTTCAAATTTCTTGAAATTTTTCTTGAGGTTTGAGGAATTTAAATGGGTTTGAATTTTGTTTGGAGAGAGAAAGTGAACTTTTGTTAAAAAAAATATTGAAATGATTTGTAATTAATGTATGGTAAAAAAATTAATTATTGTACTATTTATTTATTTCATTATACAAAAAAAAATAATTATATTATTATACAAAAATAATATACAAAATTGTTGCACAAAAATCTGATGTACATTATAAATGAACACTGTGTTCTTTTATGTATATGTCCATGAACATTATAAATGAACACTATGTTCTTTTATATGCCCATGTACATTAGTATATACCTGCATGTTCATTCCGCCTTTTTGTACTTTGGAGCGGATGCATCATGCGGATAGTGCGTCTGCCTCCACGAACCAAGCTTTATGCTTAATTTATATGGAGTATTTTTTTTAAGTGGAATATTTAATTTTGTACGTTTTATACAACCTCCGCTAAATATTATAATGTATGGTCGGTGCACCCGGAAAGAACATTAGGTATATTTAAAAGAACATAGGCGAAAAAAAGAACATTATAGATATTTATAAAGAACATGAGCATAATATGTTCTTTAAATTTGATTATTATGTTCTTTGAGTTTGAAATATATGTTCTTTATATTATACAATATGTTCTTTAATGTATGTACATTTGAAAAAAAAATAAAAATTCACCCGAGTAACTAGAAAAAAGAACATGTTCTTTACTGTATTATCATGTTCTTTTTGTAAAGCCTTTATGTTCTTTGGCTAGAGGTGATCAAAGTTAGACTGACCCGACTTGATTTTGGACGGGTTTTGCCCCCAAATCGGGTCGGACCTAGCCCGTAAATTTAAATTTTTGGGCGAGTTTGGGATTGCGTTTTTATGCATTTTAGTTGATTTTTTTTACTCAACCCGAAAAGCCTGCACGGCCGAACCATTTTGGGCAGGTTTGGGCACAAAAACTTCAGCCCAAAACTTGGCCTGACTCGAGAAGTGAGCTGATTTTTTAACCTTGCCCCGGTCCGCCCAATGATCACCTATATCTTTGTCAAACACGAACATGTTCTTTTTTGTCAAATATAATGTTCTTTTTCAAACACGTTTAACTACCCAAGTAACCATGAAAAATAACATGTTCTTTTTGTACAGACTTTATGTTCTTTGTAATGTCACGTTCTTGTCAAACACAAACATATTCTTTTGTCAAACACATGTATGTTCTTTTTCAAACACTAGCATGTTCTTTTTTTTTTCTTATGTTCTTTAAAATATGCCTAATGTTCTTTCCGGGTGCACCATGCGCATGGTGCACCCGAGTGCACTATACTATTTTCAAAATATTATGTGCAACTTTAGAATATTTTATAATTTATAAATAATGCCCAAAAATTGCACATAAAATTTAACGGATGTAGTATATATAAACATTCTATCGTCTTATTCTTAATTATGCGGAGTAGTAATGTTACACATATATATATACACAATTATCACTTAATATTAAGGTTTTCTTTTAAACTTTTTTTGTAATAGTTGGTTTTTTTTTTTTTTTAATTTAACTATATCACAGATTCACAGGTCTTTGATTTAAGAAGGTGGGAAGCAAATTAATCCAAGCAAACAAAGTACCACTTTCCAAGAAGCATCCTTTAATTATTTACTAAATACGGAGTATATATAAACAAAAATTAAAACACTAGGCACTAGGCCACTAGCTCTAACATTTTTAGTTCATTTAATCCAAATCAGCTCTAACAAAATTAAAATGTAGCATAGGTGTTATGCATACAATTAGTTCTTTTGAAGGAAACAGTAATATAAAACGCCATATAAAAGTTTCAAGAACGAGAAAAGTACAAAAAAAAAAAAAAGTAAAAAATTAGGAGTACAAAAAACAAAAGCTTGGGCACATTAATAAGTGCATGTTGTTTGAAAAGTCAATTTGTCTTCACATTAGGCCTCTTTATTTCTTCCAAAAATGAAAAAATATTCGTGTGCTGAGATTTGTTTATTAATTCTAGCACGTGGTAAATTACATATGAAGTACAATACATATTTTTTTACGTAGTATATTTTTTACTAAAGGGCAAACAAGAAAAGAACACACAACAAACCTTGGAATTTAAGATAGATTGATGAGTAGTTGGTGAATGAAGAGATCTGAACGACAATGGCATGGTTTTCCATACGCATGCTTTATGTTTTAGACATTTTGGGAAATGATATGTTGGACTGCATTTCCCAAATGTTTCACCAGTGCCTGCGTGCTCATGTTAAATTCATCACTTGCCTGAAATTTATGTGTCATGACAAATTGTTAGTACATATATAAAACAGTCTTACATGTGTTGAACTTCTCATATATGTATGGCAGGATTGACAATTTATAAAATTTTGAAATCTAAGAACCTACCTTAAGAAAGTAAGTCTGCAATGACAATCTAAGCTAATTTTCTATCGGGTAATGATATATCATATATGTAGCCCTAAGGGCTGATAATAAGCATTTTCATCATTCCTAATCTGGTATTAGTTTAGAGATGCATAACAAAATCACGCGCAAGTCAGTGTAGTTAATGTTATATTTTCATTTATTTTTTTCATTTTTAACTTCTTTTATGTATTCCTAATTAAGTGCTATATAAAACATTATCCTTTTTTGTCTAGCAGTTTGCAATATGATAATAAAGCATCCAACTTGCAAATAATAATAATTGATGATACTGATTTCCAATTGTTGGTAAAGGTAGTAATATATGGTGTATTTGGTGTGCAAAGAGTCAAATTGCATGAGGGAGTAGTAATGCAGTATTGTTATGCATTTGCAAATGCATGCATAACAAATACTTAGATATTGAAAATCATTTGAAAGAGAGAGAAATGTGTAAGTGAAACCACTTTTAATTGTACCACTGAAAGCCTATATGGTGTCATTGGTTATTTAGTGATGTTATATACGCACATAGTTAGTACCATTGAATACATATGTATTACCAATATATACATACATACATAGTACTATTGAATAATGATACTATTGATCACTCAATGGTCGGTACTACTTTAAAATTAGAATATATATTTTCGTGTAGTTACACTCTTACCCCTTGTTGTATAATTGTTTGTGCATAATAATACTACCTTAATTAAGAGGACCCCAGCCAAAACTAGAAATGGTATAGTTTTATATCAAGTTACTTCAATTTTCGTTGGACTACTTCATTTTGACCTCTTCAATTTGTACCATATTAATCTTTTATCTTCCCATACTTAATGCCTTCATTTTAAAATGAACATTATTACACATTTCGAATTTAGTGATCAATATAGTAATTAGATCTGGACTAATCTCTTTGTTTCATATATCAAGATTAAACTAATGCATGTTGAGCAGCACGTTCTAATTTATTAATCTCTAGAAAATAATGCTGTATTATTATATGCTCGTATAATTCATGGATAAGTAGGGTAGTTTAGGAAACATATTACTTGAGACATAAGATGAAATAACCTGGCTAAGTTCTGCCTTACTGTTTAGTCCATTCGTTAATCTTATTATATTAAATATCTCCTTTTATGTATACTTATTTCCAAGATGTAATCCCTAAATTTAGATGAACGATCTAATGGCACTTCCATTATGTCACATATCTATTTTACTAATTATTGTTTATTGCCGAATGATGTCCTAATTATTAGGTCCTCCTTTTATTTTTTGAAGGAAATTATTAGGTCCTCCTTATAGCCTATTAACTCTACTCTATACTCATTCAAATATTTCACTATTACACGTGTTAGTGGACTAATAATTAAACCAATTAAAAGTTTAAATTGATGGTTGGAATTTGGATTAGTTTTTATACCCTGTCAATTCAAATAAAGATTAATAATTGATACATGCATCTAACGAATAGCTATAAAATTTTTTTAAAAAAATAGTAGAAAATTAAAGCTATGCAAATTACAAATTTATATAAATGACATTAATAGAATAGTTTTTCACAATTAACATCCTAAACTATATATAAAGATTACCATTTTATGGAGTATGATCTTAGTTCAATACTTATTATATGTATCATTTAAACCTACATACTCCCTGGCTCACTTTGCTACTGTAAAATCAGCTACAGTAACTTTTTAATGGAGTCATTTCAGAAAGTTAGACTTGTGTTTATTTTTTATTCTTCTTCGGGCAATAATCCCTATTATTATTATCTTACTTTTCATAGTTATCTCTATTTAGCTTATCTAGACTATGTTCTTTTAGACTTATTTTCAGTTCGATTTAGTTCAGTTCACCTTAATTCAGTTTAGTTCAATTCCATTCAGAATAGTTTTATTAATTAGTTTATCGCTTCAGTTTAATTCAACTCAGTTTAACTCACATGAACATGGCCTTATACGGTTTGATGCTCATAGACTTTTTCTTACAACCACACAAATTTTTTAATGCATGCATTCTCTTACTATATTCACTTAATTATTCTTAAACATACTATACACTACTTTTTTTTCAAGCACTCCTATAAACAAGATAGAAATCGTAAGTGAGACAAACTTATCAGATTCATGATCGTGAAATTGATAAAGTAGATGAGTAGTATGTATATATATACCTTAGCAAGAATTGTGATAGTGATGGCATAGCTTCCAAATTGCATGGTTTGGCAATTTAAAGTGGTTAAATTAAGCTTTCCAATTTCCTCAAGTAAATATTGAATGAGGCCTTGATTCTTAAGAGAGTGAACCCTAATGAAGATATTGTTGTTTAGAACCTTGGCTTCAATTTCCAAGTTATCATCAGGATTCATAATTTTGTTGGAATATGAAACAGAATTAGCAGCATCATCAAAAGTTTGCGTTTGTATGTTGTTAACAAGACAAACAGACTCCATTGTTCTCTTCGAAGTCTGTTCTTCCAAAACTTTGGCTCGATCTTCAAGTTGTTTTAGGTACTCAACTGTTTCGCCCAGGATTGATGCTTTGTCTGTCTGCATTGTTATTTCACAATATATTATACTCGCATGACATATAACAAGCATGAGTTAAATTGACTAATTACTCTGACTTAATTACTCTGGCTGTTTGTCAACTTAATTCACTAATTACTTTAACTTAATTACTCTTAATAACTCAAGAACATTTAACTTGATTCATTAAGTTAAATGTACTTCAACATAAATATATTCATTAATTAACTTAGCCAGTAATTTCTGATTTACTAAATTAGAGCTGGAGGAAATTAGGAGCTGAGTTGAAGTGAACTGAACTGAACCAAAATTAAACTGAAGAGAACAGGCTAACAGATGCAAGTGTTAAAGAGTGAATATCAATCCCTACCTTTTAAAAATTTCAAGCAAAACTTTTATCAATAGTGTGCGGATTTATATCCTAAAAATGTTTGTTTACTTATTTTCCTTTATTAATGTTAACTGTATCTTTTTTGAATTCTCAAGAATAGTGTAAGAACCTTTATAACCCTAAAAATATATGTTCATTTACGTATTTTTTCTAATTAATCATATATCAGTAGATTCCTCACAAAAACTAAACCGAAAGAGCTCTCTAGACATGTCTAGTTGTTGCAGGTGTTAGTCACCCTAGTAATTTAATTTTTTTAAGGAAAAACTTTCTTTATTTTATGTCCTGAAATTATATTACTTCCTTTGTTTTATGTTTACTTTATATTATATATTTTCATTTAATTTGTAGCTAAAAGTTAATGGTTTTCTTTCTGTAATATTTACACAAAGAGTATGAAATAATTAAATCAAGACTTTTTCTATGAAATCAAAAGAATTTGGAGGGGAAGTGTGAACAAGTAGTTGATAAGATATTAGCCTGAATTACAAAAGAAAATCTACAACATCTTGTAGTTTTAGTTTTCTTTTTTACAAAGTATAACATCTTCTAGTTATTAATGATGAGTGTGTATAATAATACATGGTTGAAGCGGTAATTGATTAAACTATATCTACGATTACCTAAACCTGTCCCCAATTGAATTCCAATCTCTAAAAGAACAAAAAATAGTTCAATCATAATAATTGAATAAATGAATTTATCTTCCCTCAAGATAAGAAATTTCCAATCCAAAAGATCGATCGATCCAAATTAAAGAACAAGAATCCCTTTAATTTGGCAAGGGGGTGAACAATTAGCTAGATTTGACCAATACATACATAAATTAAATTCCCTACCTATATTATGTGATGCTCGTGATAAAATTTGTAGGTAGCAAAAGGTGCACCATATATATGATTTTGCTTGCAAATTAACAATAAATTAAACTAGTTTAGTATATGTTGGTGTACCTTCTTGAGACCAGGAATTAGGGCAGAGAGAGCAATAAACCCTTGAGTCATCTTCTCCCTTCGCCTCCTCTCCGCAACAACATGCTCATTAGAAGTCAACATAACCCTCTTGTTATTATTACCATTACTTAATTTAGGCTTTGTTTCAAACTCCGAGCTCCCAAAACATATGAGCTTCCCAGATGAGCTCCAACTACAATCAATACTCGGTGTGATCTTATTGGTCGCCTCCATAACAGCAGGCTCGATGTTGTTACTCAAGATCAAGTCTGGTGCTTGAAATATATCTTCGAATTCAAAGACATCGGAGCTCATCATTTTTTGACAATGATGCATTATTGATGTTGGATCTTCGTTCTCCTGTAAAGTAAAGAAAACTCATTACGGAATATTATATATGATGATTGGTTTAATCAAAGTAGGTTAAAAAAACTTACAAGATCAGATAACCATTCTCCGGAAGACATTTCCATGAATTTGCTACAAATAAATTTTTGTAAAAAAAAATCAAAATTATCGCTTTTCAAGATGCACATGCGCAATAAATTGAAATCATATAAATTTAATGACTACTCCGTATTAAAATGTCATATTGAAGGGATTTAGGGATTAAATACTACTGATTCATAGCTTCAAGTGCTATAGAAAAAAGAAAAAAAAAAAAAGGAATTAATCAAGTATATAATTTAATTCAACAACCATTGAAGTTTGAAATTACAAAAGTAAGGGTTGGAAATGATGCTTACTTTGAAAAAGATGTCAAATTTGGATGTTGAATGGAAATGAAATTATGGATGATTTATTATAAAGTAGTCGTAAAATGCACTTTAGATTTGATTATTAAATTATATCGACTAAAAAAATAAAACATGTGGGTGGTTACTGCTTACATATTAACATATACATGGTTGTTATGCCTTAATAAGTAAATAGGCGTGTTGTAGAAAGTGGTCTTTGCTCGACCGTTCACAAGGGTTCGAGTTAATTGTGGTTATTCATTATTTATTTTAGTTTAGTTTATCTTTATTTATACGCATTATTATTTATTAATTTTTATGGCATGGGTACAAAGAAAAAAGTTGGTTGATTGTACGCTTTTTATTTTGGAGTTCATATTAGGGTGGGTTTTAGCTCAACTGCAAGATTTACAACTTGTTTGTTTGAATTTATTTTAACTACCTAAATTATCTTAACTTAATTAAATATATTGGTATTGAGCCACATAAGCAAACCCACATGTGAGTGAAAACGTTGTCTCGTGTTGAAATAGTGTGAACGTATTGGGAAGTGTATCCCACATTGAAGAAACAAAAAAGTTGTGTCAATTTGGGGCTAATCTACTTATTGTCATATGGTTTTAAGGTGGTACCTCCTTAGTCGTATAAAGTGGACATTCGTGACGGGTGTGACCCAGACCTGTTTAAATTTATATTTTTACTATTTATAGTTTTTATTTATGTAGGTGTGTTTGCCGATGCACAATTCAAATAAAACATATCATTAACTATATACAACAAAAACTATAAAAATGAGATATTTGAAAAGTAAACGTCGTTGTGACAAATCAAACAAAACCCACTATATTATGTTTTCTTGTAAGAATAAATCACAAAATAAAATCAAAGTAACTTATGTGAATAGTGGAGAAAGTCAAAATATGTCAAGTTGAAGAAATTTGTTCCTAATTTCACAACTAAACCTGCTTATTTGCAAATTACATCAGAATAGTTTTTTCTACTCTTTTGTCTTTTTGCTTGTGTTGTCTCAAGCTTGCTCTGTTTCTGTTTTTTCTTAAGGACAGATGTATGGCCAAGATTGTAAGGCCAGTAGTATATATGTAAGGTTGTTCCTATGTTGTAGGGCAGGAAAAAAGGTGCAATTGCACATCAGCCGCCAATTGGCTTGAATGAAAAGAAAAGGTTTGAGGAGGCATTCTTCACAACCATAAAACATATAAAGACTCAATTTTTATTGCCTGATAGAATCAGATAATCAAATTTCTTCATGGTATCAGAACTGTCAGGTTAAAATCTCTAGTATTTCTATATTTATTGTTTGTCTCATTTTTTTTAAAAAAAAAATTCTATAGTTCAATACGAGATGGCAGGAGATGATTCTTCAGAATCTCTTAATGCTTACCAAGATCCACTCTTTGTGGCAAATTCTGACAATCATTCAATTCCATTAACACCTATGTTGTTTAATGGGAGTAACTTCATGATATGGAGTAGATATGTCAAGATGGCTTTGGGTGCAAAGAACAAAAAGGGCTTTATTGAAGGGAAGGTCAGTAAGCCGAATCCAGGACACGAGGATTACAATAGATGGGAAAGAGAAGATTATATGGTGAGGTGCTGGATATTTAGGTCAATGACAGATGATGTTGCTGGAGGGCTCAGTCTTGTTCAAACTGCAAAGGAGCTCTGGGATGAGTTGGTTGAGAGATACTCGGAAAGCAACATACCACTTCTCTTTCAATTGAAAAAGGAGCTGGGAAAACTTGAACAAGGTGAACAGATGAGTGTGGGGGAGTATTATTGCAAGCTAAAAAAACTCTGGGATGAGATTTATAATATATATAGAGCCCATAACAGAGTGCACTTGCGGTATGCTCGGAAAGTGTACATGAAGTATGTACAAGAAACTGTTGCAGATTGTAGAAAGGGATAGAGTGATGAGTTTCCTTATGGGTATCAAGAAAGATTACCAGAATGTTAAGGAGAACATTCTTGGTACAGAACCTCTTCCTACTGTCAACAAAGCTTTTCATTTGGTGTTGCAAGCTGAAAAGAAGAAGAAGATTACTGGAGAAATTCAAGGAAATGTTGAAATGAGTGCTTTCCAAGCCTCAAGACACTCTCAAGGTGGAAAACAAAACTCTGGAAATTTTCAGAAGAAAAATTTCAAGGAGTTCAAGAAAATGAAGCAAGAGCTTAAGTGTGATCATTGTGGAATGAGGGGACACATAAAAGAAGGTTGCTTTGAGTTGATTGGATACCCACCTTGGTACTAAGGGCCAAAAGAAAAAAATGTGAACAAGATGGCTGCCAATGTTGGTAGAGTTGAACAGAGTGCTCAACAGGACATTCCGTTTGATCAAGATGAAGAGTCAGGAAGAAATGGGAATGTCAAACCTGATAGCAATCTCATATCAGCTGTTGTGCAAGAAGTTATGAGAGTTTTTCAGGACAAGCAGGGAGGCGCAAGCACTTCCGGGAAAACAAATGGAATGAGCAATTTTGCAGGTAAAATAACAATCTCAAACCTAGCTAGTTTTCATGACATTTTTTATTGTAATTCATGGATTATTGATTCCGGTGCCTCTGATCATATGGCTGGAAATAAAAGTCAGTTTGATACTTTAAAAACTCTTGAAACTCCTGTGAATGTGATGTTACCTGTAATACCCCATATTTTTATACGTATTTTATTTAAAGTATGTATTTTATAAAGTATTTAAATAGTTTTAGTTATTTTAATTAAAGTATTTTAATTAATATTATTATTAAAGAAAAGTTTATTTAATTATTTTATTTAAAAGTTGGGGTTTTATTTTAGGAAAGTTTAATTTTCAACAAGTTTTATTAGGGAAGGAATTAGGAAAATCTAAAAGAGGAAAGTTTAGGGAAGAAGGGTAGTAGAGAAGGGGTATAAATATCCCACTTATGAGGCAAATCAAACTTTGTCCAGAGTGGAGAAAACCCAAGGTAAACTTCTCTCTCTCTCCTCCTTATTTTTCTTTCTTTTTCTTTTTCCCCTTCCCCTTATTTTTTTCGGCTGCCCTTCTCCCTCACCACCGCTGCCGGCAGCCGGTGGTGGCTGCCGTTCTTCCTCCTCTTTTTCCCCCTTTCTTTTTCGAACTATATATATATATATATATATATATATATATATATATAAAAACAAAGCTTTCTTGTTTTATTTTAATCTATTCTTGGATCTAAATATAAATTATGAGTTTGGGGGTTTAATTTTGATGTTTGATAATTGTAATTGTATGAATTAATTTTCAGATTTGGTTTTTAATTTAAAAGCCCCAATTTTTGAAACCCTAGGTTCTTGTTTCATGATTTATTGAAAGATTATGATGTATAATAGGGTAGGCCTTTGTTTTAAGTGTTTTAAAACCAAATTACATCTTAAGGTCTTTTTAACACCGAGGAATAGGATTTTTGGCGCTTTATGCGTTTAAGGTGTCTTTGACACTGAGGTAGAATTAAAAAGGGTTCAACATTATGTGATCACTAAATATTCAAGAATTAAGTTGGTATGTTTGAGTGATTGAATTATTATTGATGATTGAATTGTTATGCTTTGAGGGTCATCACCCAGTCTAATAATATGTAAATAACGTAAAGTGAAAGAGATTACGCACCAAAACTCTTGGAATGTATATAACTTGAGTATGAACATATGGGGGGAGTTATGTGACTTTATATTTGATCATAACTTCTAACGGAGTACAGGACACTGTATATTCCTTTTTATTATTATTATGCGCTGGAATTCCGCCACCTATGTGTGGCACAAGTTTGTTGCTGGCACGGTTAGCTCCCGTGTCAGTTAACCTCAATTTATTGGGGGAGGTATAGTTGGAAACCCGTTCGATGCGTAATCAACGCTAAATGAATTATTTAGTGTCTAGTTAAAGTGTCTTGTTGATTGTTGTGTGTGCTTGTAAACAGGTGCAATGAAGTAAGTGTGTGTGATGATAGGAGAATGCATGTTAGTGTGTTTAATTACGCTTATGTACTCAGCTTTGCTGATTGTGAGTGTTGTTTGTGTCTGGCCATGTCTTTATCTTGGCCCTACGATGATCCATTTTAATGGAGAGTAGTGGGGGCAAGTAGAGATACACTTTTCAGGTATTGAAGCATGTTCATGACGGGGCATGAGTGAAGAGAGAATCATGCTAGCTTCCATTAGGATATGATGTGTTTTATGCATTGAATATTTTATTATATTACTTTATGGACTAACGCAAAAGTTTGGTTGTTTCGGTTTTGAATAAGGGCCTTAAATGGTTCCAAGTTGTAGTGGATTTTATTTGACTTTGGTTTTGTTGATTTTCAACTTTACTTTCGTTGGTTTGGTTTTTAAATTGTGTTATTTAAATAGTTTTGGTTTTCAAGTCTTCCGCTGTGTATCTTTGATAGTTGCCTTAGCTGTTTTCACGGTGGCGGTAATGTCTTAGATATTCCTAAAACGTATTTTAAAAAGAGTAAAGTGTGTATTTAAAGGAAAGGAATTTCTAGGGTGTTACATTATCAGATGGGTCTATGAGAAAAGTGTGTCAAATTGGTGAAGTCAAGTTGGGTCCTAAAATCAGATTAGTAAATGTGATGTACCTGCCTCAATTCAAACATAATTTACTTTCCTTGAGTAAACTGATTCAGTATAGCCAATTGAGAGTTCTTTTTGATGAAAAAGGGTGTGTTTTTCAGGACCCTACTGATCAAAATGTTGTGGCTTATGGAAGAAGTGCAAATGGTCTTTACAAGTTTAGTTGTAGTGAAGTTGAACCCCAAAATGAACATTTTGTGGGAAATAATGATGTAATGAGGGCCAATATGGCAGGAAAAGAAGCTTTTTGTAATAAGTCAATTACTTTGGATGTGATGCATGCTAGGTTAGGGCATGGATCATTATCTAAGCTGAAACATTTAAAATTTTGTAATTGCAAAAATGTGAAAAAAATTTATTGCGATACTTGTTCCATTTCAAAGCACCACAGATTACCTTTTCCTGTCAGTCATAGCATTGCAAAGCATATTTTTGATCTAGTTCACATAGATTTGTGGGGGCCTTACAGGATAAAAAATGTAGATGGATCTACATATTTTCTCACTATTTTGGATGATCATAGTAGGGTGACATGGACACACTTGCTGTCAAACAAATGTCAAGTGAAAGGAGTGATTCTTAGCTTACACTGAGAATCAATTCAATGTTAGGGTGAAAGTGATAAGGAGCGACAATAATGGGACTGAAAATATACAGCTAATAAAACGGAATTTGGACTAATCTAAGCTAACATAGTTGCCAAAATTTTATGGAAATTTTTTTACATACTGTACAATAATTTCTGAAAATGAACCCAATTATTGTTCTTTTTGCTTCTTTGTGATAGAGACTATATATAACTATATATGAGACAAAAATATTAGGAGAGCTGGCAATTTGTCGAATTTAAGTTGTTTACAAAAACAATTCTTTGATCTATCACTATTTATGAAACAAAACAAAAATAATTGCGTTCCACATTGAAGATAGATCATGTAGTTCGAAATCAACCTGAAATGATGCTAAAAACTTTTCAATTTTTCATATTCATTCGTTTGGAAGTTTTAAGCAATTTGTATAAAATAATAGAATAAGACCTCACACGAACGATCCATTATCAAATTGCTCAATTTATTTCCTTATATTATGCAAGGTTAAACCGAGTATTCGTTACGTTTAGAAAATTAGTTACTTTCACAAATTATAGTAACGTCGTCCAAGATCACACTTACTTCATGTTGTTGATTGATTACCAAAGGATCAATTTTTATTTCTAATTGAGTTGGAATATAAATACCTTGAATAATTTAATTTATAGTTGAACTATAATTTAAGGATTTTGATATTGCATATGTGATATGAAATGTTTTTATTTTTCAATGTACTTAGCTCTAGATTTTCGATACCGGTCCTTGAAACCTTCAAAATTTCTCATAAAGCGTGGATATAAGACTTAAATTTTGGAATTTTTTGACTTTTTTTCACATGTAAATAAAAATTGCCGAAATGTTTATCATAATCCCTAATACAATCCGGGAGTCCAATTAGGTGGGTGAAACCATCCAATTTGCTTTTAAATGACAAGTTACCGGTTTACAACTTGCACCTATTTCATTTACTCAAGCCTACCACGAACATTTATGATAACATATAATGATCATTTATGGTTTAAAACAGTATATTATGACCCCGAAAAGTATCCCTTAAAATCTCAAAGCTTTTCGATACCGGGCCCCGAAACCTAAAAAAAACTTCTCAAAACACGTGGATAAATATTAGCCTTTAATTTTGGAATTTTTTAACTTTTTTCGCCCTAAAATAAAAATTTCCGAAATGTTTACCGTGGTCCATAATACCCTCTGGCAGTCCAATTGGGTGGGTGGAACCACCAATTTGCCTCTAAACGACCAATTTACAGGTTTACAACTTGCACCGATTTCATTAACTCAAGCTTACCACGAACATTTATGACAACAAATAATCATCATAAATGGTTCAAAATGACATTATATGACCCGAGAAGTATTCCATAAAATCTCAAGTCTTTTCGACACCAGGTCCCGAAACCTCTAAAATTTCTCAAAAAACATGGATATTAGCCTTTAATTTTGGAATTTTTTGACTTTTTTTCGCCCGTAAACAAAAATTGCCGAAATTTTATAGTCTCTAATACCCTCCGGGATTCCAATTGGGTGTGTGGAACCATTCAATTTGTTTTAAACAGCCAATTTACCGGTTTACAACTTGCACCGATTTCATTAATTCAAGCCTTCCACGAACATTTATGACAACAAATAATGATCATATATGGTTCCAAACGGTATTATATGACCCCGATATGTATCCCATAGAATTTCAAGACTTTTCGACACCGGTCCCCGAAACCTCCAAAATTTCTCAAAAAGCGTGGATATTAGCCTTTAATTTTGGAATTTTTTGACTTTTTTTCGCCCGGAAATAAAAATTGCCGAAATGTTTACTATGGTCCCTAATACCTTCCGTGATTCCAATTAGGTGGGGGGAACCATCCAATTTGTCTTTAAATGGTGAATTTACCGGTTTACAACTTGGACCGATTTTATTAACTCAAACCTACCACGAATATTTATGACAACATACAATGATCATTTATAGTTTAAAACAGTATTATATGACCCCGAGATGTATCCCCTCAAATCTCAAAGGTTTTCGACACCGGGCCCCGAAATCTTAAAAATTTCTCAAAAAGAG